GCGCAGAAGTAGACTGAGCGGGAGAAAGGCCGGGCGACACCGCCAGTAGGATTGCCGGGAGCGGAGGCGACCTGCTGCCGCCCACAACTTACCCGGGCGAAGACGCAGCATCAGCCGTCGGAGAATTCCGGATCTGTCTATTAGCAGACGGAGAAGAACTAGAACTGACCTGTAGCGATCGCTGAGATGTTGAACGTAAATACGGAACAATTCCAGCGCGGCGCAAAAGGAAGATGCGGGTTTGTAAATAGTTGTTTGAAGTATAAGGGCGTAAAGGGCAGAATCGGAAATATTACAATATTTTTTTTTTAGAATTCCTACTATTTAGAAACGGATAAGAGCAAAAAGGGGAGATGTATGAATTATTAGTTTGTGCCGGTAAATTTGTGGGGCTATTATAAGATTTTGTCATGAAGTTTGTCAGTGCTCATCTAGGAATAAGCTAAGTCGAAGAACAATTTGTTTACAGCACTTCTTTCTGACCAAATTGTTTTAAGAGCTGGAAACTTTGATTTTATTTTTATGCGTTCATGCTACACTACCAGCGCGTAGGTCATAAGTGGTGATCGAAGAAGGCACCTTTAGTGATGGTTCGTCCACTATAGAGAGGTCTTTTCTCCATGAATTTAGATACGATAGGCCGTTGCAGAGAAGCCAGTACCAGAATCAGTACTACTTACTGCTACTTGTGTTGCTTCGAAGGTACCCGATCGATTAACCGATTTCTTCTGTACGGGTCCAATATTGTTTATTGTTAATTATCTGTAAAATTTAAGTAGGTTCAGGTGTTCGAGCACATTTTAAAAAATACTCTATAAATTACAAACAGCTTCATTGTCTGTGATTTTATTTGCCCCGGCAAGTGCTACACATGAAGTTCGTTGCGTGTATTTTCAAATGGTACATGTCCCGCCTGATGAGTATGGCATAAGTTCTGCGGGAAATCTCATTCATGTAGTACTCAAGACCTTTTACTTGCAACAGAAAAATTATGCCATAATGAAAAATTGATCATCCGCGTTACCGCCTGCAAGCCTCTCTTCATTGAGCTTGGAATATTGACCACTGCCTTGCCTATATATTACATGAATCTATAATATTTTGTCAAAGTGACTTGACTTAACGGTGGGAAACATATTTTTAACGGCCATACTGTATTGATATATATATATATATATATATATATATATTATAATATATATATATATAATTATATAATTACACACTTGCGTAAAATCACGTTCACCAAGTGTCAGTATCAACAAGCTCACTATCAGGAAATCTACATGAACGTTACTTTAAAACGCACTACCAGATGACATTAAACATTAAAGTTCGGTTTACCAAATTAAAGTTAAAGTAAAATCTTTCTGCGCATTACATTATATAAAGTTTCTATACAATTTAGAGACTATACGATTATCAAAAAGAAACTAATGTTTATTTAACAAAACATGACTATTAATGAATTAGTTTACATTTGTATTGTATATTTTTTCAATGATTTAATATGTTTGCAACAATAATGTTACTTTAGCTTCCGGATCAAGATCCATGAGCAATGCTGAGGTGGCCACTGTTGCTTCTGGGTAGCTTCACTATGCGCGGTTTTTGTTGAACCTCTCCTTCTTGCTTTAATGCGTTAAGAGTTAGATGTAAGAGAGAGTGCTATTTCTTAGCAATGCTTTAGCAAGCCTCACAAATAAGAGTATTTTCTGTCGAAAAGTTGCTTTCCGGCCTCTCCTACTAATATTCTCTTTTTGCATAGAATGCGACAGATTTAGGTTATGTAGACTTGCATGTAACTGATACAGACATTTAATTAGAAAAAGCCTTAACATTATATTCTATGTAGTTAGCAGACAATATTGACTATAATGTTGCTCGTTGTCAGATATATTGGTCTTCCACTAATAATCAAAATCGCGTTTTGCATTGCACGAATGCATTAGTTTTGATCACTTGTACCCCTTCTCTTGCGCAATTAATATATCATAACATAATATCACCGAGCATATTTTAACTCTAGAACTTGTTCTAACTTGTAAGGTTTTACTTGCTCCTCGTCAACAAAAGGTTTCCACTCTTTTTACCTCTATTGTAATTATTTCCCATTCAACGTGTAAGTAAAAGGGCCATGCATTAAAGCACGGAATTTTGCAATTCGAGTGATTTCTACAGTATTGCTTAATGCATTAAAAATAATATCTAGTATATTAAAAATTTCAAAGCGTGAATATTTGAAGTCGCTTTACTTCTGAAAATAAATGTATTAACCGCAGACAGTTGGCTAAACCAAATATTCACAAAAAACAAGTTAAATTCATGGGTAAGAATCCTGGAATATTCGCGTTACTTGCATAAGTTTTTAAGCTGTTAGACTAACTTAAGAATATCTCACTTGAGTTGATTTGAACTATGGTAAAATAAAAATATCAACATTTTTAGTAGTGATTGATGGTGGTGCAGTACTAACACAGACAGCAATTTTCGTCGTTTTGATTTGCAGTTCATTGCTTAATCCTTACATGGTACTTTCACTCAACATCAACCTGATCCATATTGGAAAGATAAGAAACAAACAATTCAAAAATTGCCATGGAAAATTAAAATGTCAGCGTTACAAATTATTAGAGATTTAGCTGTACTTTAAGTTTACTAAGCATGTCAATCAATGTAACCCTTATTCTTTTAAAACTTCGATTCTTTGAACATCATAGGATTAAAACAATATTATAGAAACGTATAAAGGACAGTTAAATTATTCACTTCCCCTCACACTCCTATATTTCTATTAACATTCTCGCGTTAGTACAAAGCTATGTAAATAGTTAAGCTGAACGTATACAATCATTTATATTATTATGAAGTTTGGATTTTATTTATCGTTATTCGAACTTTCTTGCGAATATATATTCAGGTCTCGCTCAAATATGTGCAGGTGAGTAAAAGTTTTAATTATTTTCAAGCGGGTATGGATTAACAAGATATCTGCAACAACTCGTTCAACGTTGCTACGAAAGGACCAGAACTTAACTCCTCAAAATTTGAGAATTTAGATTTTGTTTGTTATGAAACGTAACTAGAAGTTTCTTATATACTCGTGAACCAGATTGTACGTGTCATGGACGTACGTTCAGAGTTTCCTAGCTTTGTAAAACAAAACCCGAAGTCTTTTTTATTAACTTTAACAGTCGCCTTAACATCTAGGTCATTAGCGACACAATTGCGATATGACCGTATGTTAATGTGAGATAGATCATGAATATGGGGAAGACAGAGGCGAGAAGGACGAACACAAATACAAACCATGTCGAGGCGGACTCGAATCCCGTTCCTTCGGCCAAGATCGCTACGGCACCACTGCCTTAACGATCTCGGGCATCTAGACCGACAGAACGAAGAGTATTTGTTACTGAATGTTGTCTCCTATATTTATTTCAGTAGCATACATCCCTTTTTTCTACTCTCACACGCAACCAATTTTTATAAAATGAGACTGTCTTAAAGAAAGAAAATTTCACAGAGACGTGACTAATTGCCACTTTTGACTTTAAATAATATAAAGACGTATTTAAAAAAACGCATCTAAATGTTTTAGATTGTCACAATGCGAACCTGCAGCAGTCAGCTAAATCGTTAAGTTAACTTCTAAATAAAGCGTTTTAGGGCCTTGAAAAATTGAAGCATTCTTGAAGGGTCACAGCGCCTGAGAGAAACGCTTCCATAAATCGTAATTTACAGGATGACATATTCGACATTCTATTAGAATTTGATAGTTCGGTAAGCTTATCGAATACCACCTATATTAAACTCTGCGTGATGATGGGCAATCTTTATGACGTTAGAAGGTTAGATTCCTCTATCTTATCACTATTACGCTTTCTGTGTATTACGCTTTCATTGTACTCCGTTGTTTACGCTTTCATGTACTCCGTGGTTTGCGCAGGACTGAGGTTTATTTGCATAAATTGCAGCCAACAACAAGGGAAATTACTATTAATAATCCTTGATACCGATGAAGGATTGTTTTCTTATGCGTGGATGCAACCATTCATTACGTTTTTGCGCGGTAGGTCTACAAAATGCTTTATGGTACTAATTGTGAGGAAAAATACGATGGAAAACGGACCACATGTTCTGCAAGTTTGTTTACGATGCCTTTAGACAAAATAGTATATCTGCCTTCATTGCTTGGATTGTCAGGCAACAAAAGTATGTATGGATTGACCATTCTTGTTTCTGTGACAAGGTATGTAGACAATTACTCATGACTTGGTATGAGTAACTTTAGTATTCTTCAGGAAAACGCAGCACGTTTTCTTGAGCCCCGGAATATCCCACTCCTTTGCCAACATTGGTTGAATGAAATTATGATAGAATGATTAGAGCAGTTGTAGCAAAATCTGATAACAGAAATGTTTGCTTCCGTGTATGAAACTATTTTGCATCGAAAATTGACATACAATTATGTTTTGTCGAAATAACCAAATTCGTCCACTCCTTCACAACTAGCGACACGAAGGATCCAGAAACTGTGCGCGGATAATATCCACATCTACATATCAACTAAATACTAAACGTGGCCTACATTTGCTTTTCCGAGGTGGGAAATACATGCGAGAGTTCTCGCATGGGACGTAGTCGTCAATACTTTGCCAAAAATCAGTATCGACAAAGCTTCAATGGCTATAACACGCAACAAAGGAATTCACAGGAAAAATATATACATGTATCTGTTGAAGTCACAAATATATTATTTCATTTGGTCTCCTTCTCTTTTCTGTAAAATAAAGATTGAAGAAAAATGTAGTAATTGTTAGATTTCTGTAAATGCAGCATTTTCGTTTCTCATCGCACATATTTCTCAGTGGTCCAAAAATAAAAGAAATGCACACAACATTATAAAAACAATTAGTTTGTCGATTCAATCAAAAATAATTTAAATTTTACTGAATCAGTTTCGTATTCTATTTATGTCATTGCTTAAAAAACATTACCTTGCCCTCAGATCCTGAAGGGAGAACTTTGAACACCTGAAAAAACAGAATGTAATGCATTAGAAAGATTAGAATTTCCAATTTCCTTTTCAGTGAATCCGAGTAAAATTTACAAATTCTCGACGCAATCAAGTTTTCTTTAATTTCTAAATAATAACAAATAATGATTAGGCTTGATTGAAGATTTCGTTTTCGACAATTTCCTCTGTGATGTCAGTAACCTAATTCAAGAATGCGAGCAATAGTACTTCGTTATATTCTGGACCACAACCTGTCATATTATTCCGAATAATCCCACAGAGAACAATATAATCGAACAAAAGGAATGCTTATTACGATACAAGCTTATGGAATTGGAATACAAAAATATGTTTACTTTCTCGCATACCTAGTTACGTGGCATAGAAAGTATTGTGCTGCAACGAAAAAACGGTGATATTGTTGTGCAGAAAAGATCAATTGTGGATCTCTGATACGGAAAAAATGTGATAGTTTCTTGCTGCTATATCTAGTAACTAATTTCCTTTATGAGCCCAAGAGGATGTAATTCATGCAAAGAAGTGCAATCAAGCAAGAGAACGCATGAACAATCCTGGGTCAATGCACTATTTACTTAGCCAGCAATTAGTTAAGCGTCACGACACGAGATCAGAACTCCGTAGAGGAGAAGATGTACTCTGAAAGTCGGATACGCGTAGTGTTCATGAAGCCACTTTCTTTCGTTGCTGAAGGCGATTGAAATCAGAGTGGTAAATAAATGTCAGAACAGGGGTCCACGTGGATCGAACTCCGTCACGTGGGACGAGTCTAGATGATAAAATAATAACCAGTTAATTCCTCTCGCTGCCCAATTTTCATGGAGCGGCCGCAAGCCAAACTCCTGCCGGGGTGTTTGAAACCTCTGAGCTATACGGGAGATCCAGTCAGAGGTACTCATGTTGGGCGATCACGTCCTCGAGACGCATCTACTGACTATATCTTAATTGCTCTTTATTTAACTCTACACTATTTGTAAATTACGAGGCAGCACATTAAGCAGCGTTACAAAAGGGTAGAAGAGGATCTTCTTAGTCTAAGGAACGGGAGAGGACCTAAAATGTTAGACATTATTTAGTTACCACATCTTTAATTGGGAAGAGTCGCTATTTAAAGTAGCATAAACACTGGGAGTACTCAGGAATCCAGGTTTTGGGAGTCTTTGATGCCGAAAAAAGTTTATGTTTAATCCGCCAGTCCTTCTAACTACAACACTGGTGGCTAACCATAGATTTTTAACAAAATTTATATTCCGATCTACGTTTACTTGGTGCCGCGATTCTTGAATTTGAAAAAGATTTTTTTGAATTTTGGAGGATCATTAAACAAGACCCACACATTTCAAGATTTTCTGAAACATATAGCTCCAAATTTTTATTAGAGCGTTTTCTTACAACCGATAATATTAGACAGATAAGTATTTTCCTATAATAAATGCTGTGCTTCAGAAATAGATATGCGGATAAAACTATTATACATTGTTTTTCAAAATATGTGTAGTTTGTCGCCATATTTACGTGCACATAAAAACAATTTTAAATATATGTTCTCAAAAACGCTCTATTATTTCGAGTAGCACGAAGTACGTTTATATAAATGGCGAATAGAAGATTTTTCATTGAAATTTTTATTTTTTGAAAATTACAACGGTTACCAATAATGCAAAAATATGTGCTGTTGTAACACACTAGTTAATTTTTGGTTAATTTTTTGTCTTGGTTTCTCGCTTTCAGGCCTTTCTTGCGGACCGACAATGCAATAGGGACATTTCTATGCAATAGATCTTAATTTGGCCAACACGATGTAGCATTTCTTGTAATATTAATTGTGCTGATGTAAAATCTGGATGTTTCAACGAGTTGTAGTCAACTTGAACACGAACTTTACTACATAGCGGCCTCGATACCATTCTCCAAAATGACGGTGTGTAGCGGAATGCTTTTTGCGTTTTCGAGGTATTTTAAGCTGCTGCTGGGATTTTTATGTGTGTCAGTGTTGTTCACAAAACTTGATCGATAGACAGACGGAACGGACATACATTTACGAAAATCGTTTTATCAGTATCAGGGATTTCAAAAATGTATTTCCGGTTCAATCTGAAAAATGAATTTTTCCATCGGCATTACATATCTTTCTCTTATTTAGATTATGCATCACAAAGATCAATTACATAAATTTATCTAGACAAAGAAATACGTTAAATAGCCTATTATGTATGCGAAGAACGAATAATAAAAATCCTATTTTTTCAATTGACATTTTTAACTTTTTTCGAACTTTTTAAATGAATTGTGCCTGTTAAAACCAAATATCCGCATATAGGAATTTGAGTATTATGTGAGTGAGTGTGTGAGTGCAGAGAGATTGCGTCAGAGTGTGTGTGTGTGCTGTGTGTGCTTGTGTGTGTGGACAGGTGAGTGTGACGGGTGTTGGGAGTGGTTGGTTGTTGAGTGTTGTGCGCGGCGCGCGGATCCGTCACGGTTAGACCACTTCCCGTGCACCAATCGAGAACCAAATGATGATGTCTTTGACGGTTCTCCGTCTATGGTGGGGAACTGACATTGTGTTTTCGGAATCGGCCATGTAGTTCTAAGAAACTTTTAAAAACGTTGTTTTTGTAGTTTTAGATCTGCGATCTTGAGTACGCCTGAAGTTAAACCAACGCCAACCAAATACTCTATGTAGGTGGAGTGAGTGCGACAAGTACTTTTCATTCGTGTTACCACGTTTTAAAGAACAAAGTTTGCTAAAAACGTAGGCATCAGTTTGCCTTAAGGAACGATATTAAATCTTGAACTTCAGTGAATAATGGAGAAACCAAAAGATGTGCCAGTACATTTTGTGAATACAAATAGTGAGTACAGAATTCACATTACGTATCTTACGTTTGATTTCTCCAAATTACAATTCTTAAGGCATGCGGATTTTCAAATCAATGTGGAATACCTATCAATGCAAATTATTCTTATTAATTTGACTAGTTACAATAATTAATTTACAGTAATACATAAAAAAACGTCACCGTTTAATCGTTTGCATAGATTCGTTCACAAAACAGATCAACCATTATCAATTGCAGAAATTGCAGAAGTAGAAAGGGAATAAAATTAAACTGATTTCGTGGATTTTACATCTCTATATACTGGGGCAGTTCCTTTACTCGAATTGCGTAACGCAAGAGAGATTAACTGGTGAATATTATCACAACGAGATGTGGGTATTACCGCTTCGTTCTTGGTGTTCGAAGAAATAAGAAAGGGACCGATTAAGACGTTCAAGACACATATTTATGCATTCTTTGACTCGGCTTCTATTTCTCGCTGCGAAGTCAGCACGACACAACCTTTGCACACTAACAGCGTACCATTTTCCACGACAAATCTCATTAGGTTATATGTAAGCACTTTCAGATCGGTATAGCAGAGGGTGCAACAATCTCCAACACTAACAGGCTAATGGAAACGACTGTAATTAAAAAACGAACAACTCAACCTCCTCTACCAAAAAAAGATTTGTTGAAAAATAAATATTTTATTTAATTTTAATAGAACTCTGCTGTCAATGATAGTTCATTTACTTATATTAAACAGAGGCAGGGCCGGATTTAATAAAACCTAACAAGCCAAACAAGCAGGGTTGGGGCCCCTACTTCACCAGGGGCCCCGCGTTTTCGGAAAATACGCATGCCAATATTTTGTTGTCTGTTGAATAATTGTTAATCAAGTTGTCAACTGTGTAACAAATGATACAATTTCATATCCTGGTATGGAGCATTGACTAAGCTGAGATATCTCAGTTTGAAGACATCATCGACCAATTTTCTGCAGTGAAGAGCAGAAAAAAATAATGATAATTGTAACACAAGTAAAAATTACTATAAAAAATATAAGTTTTCCATTAGTAGTCTGTACCGAAAGTACTTGTACGTATAATTACATTTTTTAGTTAAATAAAGATGGAGCTATTGTTTTCGGGGGGGGGCAAAACAATTTGTGCTTGGGGCCCGCACTACTTAAATCCTGGAAAGGGGTGAACGTAATGTTAAACTAGCAAAAAGAAAAAGTTATATGTTTCCTAAAAATCTTGAAATGTCGAAGGGGTTTATTGTAAAGTAAACCCCAAAATTAAGTAGACCATAATGCTCTCGGGAACGGCACAAGAAGATATTACTTTTCTAACATATTTAGTCAAGTTTCGGCCAAAACCATTTAATCTGACACAGTATGCGAGACGTATCTATCCGGAACCATCACATCCATCCAAACAGTTTATTTCCGATTTTCGGGTATAAAATTGCTCTTCCACTTCAACCGAGTCTGAGATCTTCTTCGTACCAGCAACTAATAAATTAATCTTGAAGTTATTTAATAGCTCAAAAGAAACTTTAAACACGTATTTTGCGGCCAAAAATTTGAAATATATTAGCGAGAATGAGTTCAATACTTTTTCTCGATTCAGGGGAGATGATAATACAGGAGAAATAGAGGAGATTTAGTTGTCCACAAAAAGTGGGCAATCCGGTCTCAAAAACATGAAAGAGCATGAGGGAAACTAATCAGCAAAATGGCAAAAGTTGCGGTTGTCGAGTCATGAAAATGTTATTATAGATCATTGTTCATTATTTTATTATTTATCCAAATGAAGATGCATTTTTCGACTGAGAAAGAAACGATACCCCAAATAACGTGTTGCCTTCCTTCCGCTTCACTTAACTAGCCAGATCGACCAAATATTCTTCGCATAATGTTTAGGCCAAAACTTAAATTCTTAAAATTTGAATAAAAAGGTGAAAAGTTAGTAATAATTCTGATGGGGCGGAAAGAGATTCATCAGATGGAAAGTATACACAATACTATTTCGGATGAAATGAGACTTCAAAAAAAACGATATATAACTACCTGTGATGTATTTTTGCTATGATTTATTGATTACTGATTTTCGAGTAAATTGAGGAAGAACTAGTTAATTGACAACCAATTGCAACACAACCATGCACACTGTCACAATATATCACGATCAGCAATTGAAAACAAAAAAAAGTACAATCATCATAGGTATGTAGTTTTGTTCAGTTCACTTCCACGTTTACTGTTATACACTGAAACAAAATTATTGGTGATCGTGTTAATATTTAGTGCAGATTTACAAATGGAAGAACTTGCTGTTCAGTGAGACCAGTATTTTTTAGATTGAGTAATTGTAATAAAATGTTTCGCTAAACTGCTTTTTACATATTTAAATATTCTCTTCATCAATATTCAATAACTCATAATTTGAAAAATTAACTTCTACCTCTGAAAATTCCTAAACTCATAGATCTATTAAAAGTGATTGATAAGATTATCAGTTTTCCGATCTGTATACAATCAACTCTCAGCCAAACAGATGTAAACACTTTCAGAAGGCAACCATCTTTTTGGAACCAAATCATTGCCATCCCTTTAGGAAAGATTTGAAATACGCTCTATATCCAATATTTCCGTTACTTTCTCAGGATAGAGGAAAGTGACGAAATATAGCTTGTTTTGTTCACACGTAAAATGATGGATGGCAAAGCAGAAATGGATTCCCGGTTCCATGCAGATTTAAAAAAAATATTTTCGAGAGATTACAACTAAAGGACATAAAAATATTATATACAAATTAAAAATTGAAGTCCATATGTTTATTAAAAAGTGATGGTAAATAAGTCGTAAATAGAGGGAAAAATGCGATTTGAAGAATTTTGTAATTGTTTTGTCATTAGTCCTGAAACAAACTCATCTTTTAAATCAAACAAATCATTTTACATATTGTCGCACATCGAAACAAAATCAGCGATTTGCTGTATAATTGTATTAAAATCATTCGCGGGGTCGGAGGAGCATATGATTACGACGTGAAGGTTTTCAATTATGACATTGAAAAGATTGACTTTCTTATTCTAAAGTGGACGTTATCTCCAATTTCTACATGTTTTCTAGTTTCGCATATTAAGTATATTCTATAAGTCGGCATGAATTCTATCTAGGAAATATCATGGAATAAGTTCAAGTATTATGTATGTGTTAAAAAACGATGTTCACTTACTCTGTCACCTGCTTGTAGTGGGCTGGGCGGTGACGAAGGCCGCATCAGCGCCAGGACGCAGAACGCGAGCTCGATGGTTGTTAGCGGCGGCAGGCCTAGCGTGGACTGCGGTACTCGCTTTACGGTGGCTCCACACGCGCCCGCGCTGCCACACGGCCGCCGCCCAGCACCTTCCACACCCGCGCGTTCGCCACCCTTTCCCCCTCCCGGCACGCCACGACCGGTATGACATCGGCTGCAATGAACTTCTTTTTCCAGAGCTTGCCATTCAACCAGACACCGATCCCTATCAAGTCGTTCGTTTTGTTTCTCGTTTTTCTCATTATAGAGCAAATATTGTAATAGTGCTATAAAACGTATGTAACATTATGAAATGAAAAGAAATTCACTTTGGAAGGGGCCCTGACATTTCACAACATGTTTTATTGATGACCCAGAACTGCACGTTCCTGCGACAGACCTATCGTATGGATCTTCCGCAAACAATAATACCTAAATTGTACAAAACAGATATTCTGCTATTAAATATGACTCACAAAAGAGAACCTGCGAATTTGAAGGAAACAATATTAATTAGAGCTAATGTGGCTTAGTGGGATTAATAGCAAAAGAATCTTAATGTGGTCCTCTGTACGATACCATTTTGATTTGAAATTATATGTTGGACAATTCCACTACAGAGCGCCTCATGCGGGAGGGCGGCCGCATTAAAAAACGGCCCGTCCGCTGACCGTTTCTTTCTTCTGTGATTCCGATCGCGTGGTGAGAGACCGTGGAGTTTGAAACTCGTGAAAAAGTTAACTTGAAAGTAGGACCAAAAGGGAATTCTTTCCGTCAGAGCGAAGACGTGAGAAACCTTTAGTACAGTATAAATTATTAAATAGTGATTCTGTAGGCAACGATACGACAGTATTCTTGGGTGTGAAGAATAAAGAAAACATAGTTACCATTCAGTCCCTTCATTTGATTAGAACACGGACAATTGCAGTACTTGCAAGTATGCCTAACAAAGCAAAAGTGTAATGCTGTTTCATCATTTGAGTGCGTGCAAGGACATTGGCACGCGGGCCAGTTGAACGAGGACAGACGACGGGTCAAGAAGAGAAGCAGGAAGGAGGACGGTAAGGGGACGTTCGAAGAGAGAAAACAGGAAGGCATCAACGAGTAGGGAGGCGACGACTGCGGTCTGGAGACGGTGGGCGCTGAAGAAGAGGACAGCTTGGGCACAGCACCGAGAAGCCGTTGTGGGCGGTGCAGCTGACGCGGGCTGAGGTCGAGTCCCGAGCGGAGTGAAGGCTGGGGAAGCGTAAAGTAATAACTAGCGGTTTCAAAGTAGCCGCCCCTGAACATATAGATCAACGGGAACACAACGCAAATCGAAGTGAACTTGTTTTAGAATAACGGGGGAAACGTTTCTCGGGAAAAAAAAAAAAAAAAAAAAAAAAAAAAAAAAAAAAAAAAAAAAAAAAAAAATTAAAAGCAGTAGAAGATTTACTTGAAGCCAAAAACTTTCCGGGCCATTAAAAACATTGGTTTGCCTGCAGAAACTGTGGGAAATGTATGTATTTCATTTAATTGTTATTTCAGCTATTAACATGATTTACTTGAGAGAAGAATGACCATTTTTAAATTCTCGGGCTATCCGGGAGACGCCGCGTCGTGTGGCTTGGCGAGGCCGACATGTCGCAGGGCTTCCTCAGAGCAGTGGGGACACTGCGCGCTGCGCGGGGCCCGGTTGATTTTGTACTTTACCCAGCCAAAAACGACGCGAAGTTCTCCGGTAGCGAGAAATTTAATGGGATTTTCGGGGCTCTGCGGAAGCTTGAGTAATAAATGTTCATTTTTACAACATTAATTTTTATTTAAATTTAGTTAGTGTAAAAATAATTACAACAGAAAAAGCCAGTGTCCATTAGATAGGTTGAAACAGAAAATTGAAGATTTTTTCAATTCACGAGTTTATTTAAATAACAGAAATTCAACAGAAAAATTAATAAGTTTACGAGAACCATAAAATGAATAATATTCAATGCGAACATATTTTAAAGGAGAAAAGGTGCCTTTTTCTTGTTGTTCTGAGTTTTCAATTGGTTTTGCGTGTTCATTGTATTCCACTGGGTTCAAAAATTAACATCATTAATCCAGTTTATTTAATTTTATGTGACGTGTTTAATCTTCTCGTT